CCCCAAAACCCCAAAACCCCAAAACCCCAAAACCCCAAATAGAAACCAAATAATTGAACAAGTTTAAGAAAGCTAGACTCTATATGTGGGAGGCCTTCCAGAACGACCAATCTTCAAGATGATTTGCTTTAGCTTTATTCTTATCTGCAGAGATTATAAGAAAATCCTACCGTTATTCAAGTTGTGAAAGTAATTGTTGTATTGCTGTATCGCTTTAATACTCTCTAAATTTAGATTTGCCAAATGTTCTTCCTTAGATTTGTATAAATACTATAATTTAAACTTGATCCTTACAGGAAATGGAGGGAAAGTTCTCTTTTTGGAAACATCCTTCCAATCTATTTTTGTGAACCAAGGGTGATCTTTTATATCTTGTGCTCCATTTTGGTGACCCAATCTCTTTTCGGGATCTTTTTGTAGCAACCTTAATATCAAATCTTGAGCTCCTTCTGATAATTCCTCTCCTAATTCTACAGGACTAACTAAAATATTTTTAAATAGTGTATCTTTATCATGATCATAGAACGGAGGAATCCCCTCTAGCATCTCATAGAGTAACACTCCTAGTAAATACCAGTCAACATTCTTTCCATGACCTGTCTTTTTCACCATTTCTGGAGCTAGATATGCATATGAACCTCAGAAGCTTTTTGCTACTTTTTCTTTTTCAACGAGACCTTCCTTAGACAATCCAAAATCCGTTAATTTTCAATGGCCATACTTATCCAGGACAATATTGTCTGGCTTAAGATCTCTGAAGATAATACCTCTAGAATGGAGATCTTCTATTGCAAGAATTATTTCTGCAAGATAGAGCCTTGCTCTATCTTCACTAAAATATTCCTCAGCTTCAAGATAGTTGGAGAGGTCTCCTCCAGGGCAATATTCCATGACTAGGAATAGCCTATCTTCTGTTTGGAAAGCATATTGTAGACTGACAATAAACGGATGGTTAGAAACACTCATTACATTTCGTTCTGTCATTGCGTATCTAGTGAGATTACGCTTCACAATTCTGTCCTTATTTTAACACTTTCATTGCATAGAGCTTGCCAGAGTTTCTATTTTTCCACCTAGAGGATAAATTGTAAATTTACCAGAAAAACTTCTCCGAAACTTCCTGTTCCGAGTAGCTTTATGACAGAGAAACTTTTGGGTCCTATTTTCTCTTGCTTCTTTTTCTCAGCAGTTGCTTTACCCATTCCTTTGATATTGTAGCGTCTTTGTCTATGAGTCGGAGCATTACTAACAGTACATGAGAGCATATCCGGTTGGCCTAGATCTGTTGTAGCTTTGGGTCTAGATTCACCTTTGTAATACTTCGTCTCCTCATGTCCTTCTGATCCGATAAATGAAGAGGACGCCACAGAAGATGGAGGCTCTAGGACAGAATTGTTATTATCCATTTTTGGAGATAGCTTTTTATCAAAATAGGTTCTAATTCCTTTGAACATTCCTTCTAGACTTTCTTCTTCAATATTATGGATACTAATGTTGACTGTCCATACCTTCTTGGATGGCTCTTCAGTTGAAGTCTCTGCCTCTTGAACTTTTATGAGATAATCAAGCTTCCTTTCAATAAGAAGATCTTGAGGAGTCCTACCTTTACAATCTCTTGTATTGAGAGATGCTTTATGAGAGATAAGAAATTTTATCATGTTAAAATTTAGAGACTCAATTGCAATATGCAATGGAGTCTGCCCTTCATTCGATATCTTGTTCAAATCTAAATTTGGGCAATTGTTGATTAGATAAGTCATCACAGATACTAATCCAAGCTGAGAAGTATAATGAAGTAAAGTCCAAGAGCGGTCAGCTTTATTTTGCAGTCTTACTAAATCCTTAAGTTCCTTTGCTCCAAACTTCTTCAAATATGCTAAAATTTCAGAGGAGTTTACTCCAACCTTAGTTAGAAGACAGAAAAGATCATGGTTTGATCAAGGATGCTGGAGAAGACTATTCTTGTTGGAGGACGAATCAATTCATTTTATTTCTTCTTCAGATTCAGATATCTCAATTATTTTGATTTCCTCTTTGAAATTACTACTTCCTGTGTCTCCTCATGTTACTCTCTTAAGATCTTCAGTCGATTGTAGAGCCTGGCTTTTTTTTTCAGTTATGGCATTCCTTGTCTTCCTTTTGCTTTTCTTAGAGCCAGTGTTTCTCATCGCTTTACTAATTCCTTGTCGTTCTGTTCCTCCAGCTACTGATTCAACGGCCATTAAATTGATATTTGTTGGGCCTTGGGTATCAGCACTGTGCCTAGCAGTATCAAAATCAAATCTTTTCATGGTACTTTTAGTAGTCATTGAAGTCTGCTTCAAAGCCGCAGATCCTGAAGAATCCGTTATCCTTATTTTAGGAGCATTAATATTTGTCTTAGTAATAGTAAGATCCAATATAGGAGTATTCTTACTTTGGATATGATCGTTTATAGCACGGTTTCTACGTGATAACTTGTTCTCTCTTTTCTGAATAATTTCATCCAAATTTTGTGGTTTCTTGTCTGTAGTATTATTCTTACTTCTCCTCTTTTTGGTAGGTACCTTCATATGACTGTATTGAGTGATAGTCTTCATGAATCTTTGAGCGTAAGTCTTATTCTTAGCCAAAGCAGATTTCTTTACTTTATAAGAAAAATTTCCTGAAGAATTTATCTTAGTAAATCCTCTGCTAATCTTTGTAGTAGATTTCTCAGAGTGCTTCAGATTGCTAGTATTACTAGAGTGAGTTTGATGTCCAGAATAAATTGAACTATTCTCTGAGTTTAACTTTTTGTTTGGCTCTAAAATTGTTAAAAGGTAAGTCAAATCAATTTCATTTCAAAAATACTTACCTGTGCTATATCCTTTGCTAGAAACTCCTAATGGTTCTTTTGAACGACTAGATATCTTCTTTCTCCTCTCTTTCATTCTGGTAGAATAATTTGAAGCATCAAAATGAACTTCCGCAAATTTAGGAGCAAGAATATTTCTTTTCTTCTTGCTTAATTTATTTGCTAATGCCTAAGAACTCTTGGGAAATATTATTTCTAATTTTATTTATGTCCAAGAGACTTTTCTTTCTTTGGCAACCCAGATAGTCTTGACTTCGGAGATACATGCCGCTTTGTGCGAATTGAATTTAGCTTAATTCCTGTCTTTTTATCATCAACCCCAACTGGCTTTATAGATACCTTTGTTGGAGAGGTTAGGCTGTCTAAAATATTTAGTGGAGAGTGATTCCTTCTACCACTACTTGATTTTTTCAGATTACCTCGTGTGCTCACTCGCTTCATTTTCTGAATTGTTCAATATTATTACAACTTCTTGGGGTTTTGGGGTTTTGGGGTTTTGGGGTTTTGGGG